TTAATCATGCCTGGCTGAATCATGCCTGGCTGAATCATGCCTGGCTGAATCATGCCTGGATGAATCATGCCTGGCTGAATCATGCATTGCTGAATCATTCATGGCTGATTCATGCCTGGTTTAATCATTCCTGGCTGAATCATGCATGACTGAATCATGCCTGGCTGAATCATGCATGGCTGATTCATTCCTGGCTGAATCATGCATGGCTGATTCATTCCTGGCTGAATCATGCATGGCTGAATCATGCTGCCTGAATCATGCCTGGCTGAATCATGCCTGGCTGAATCATGCCTGGCTGAATCATGCCTTTCTGAATCATGCCTGGCTGAATCATGCATGGCTGATTCATTCCTGGCTGAATCATGCATGGCTGAATCATGCTGCCTGAATCATGCCTGGCTGAATCATGCCTGGCTGAATCATGCCTTTCTGAATCATGCCTGGCTGAATCATGCATGGCTGATTCATTCCTGGCTGAATTATGCATGGCTGAATCATGCTGTCCTGAATCATGCCTGGCAGAATCATGCCTGGCTGAATCATGCCTGGCTGAATCATGCATGGCTGAATCATGCATGGCTGAATCATGCATGGCTGAATCATGCATGGCTGAATCATGCATGGCTGAATCATGCATGGCTGAATCATGCATGGCTGAATCATGCCTGGCTGAATCATGCTTTCCTGAATCATGCATGGCTGAAACATTCCTGCCTGAATCATGCCTGGCTAGATCATGCATGGCTGAATAATGCCTGCCTGAATCATGCATTGCTGAATCATGCATTGCTGAATCATGCATGGCTGATTTATGCCTGGCTTAATCATTCCTGGCTGAATCATGCATGGCTGAATCATGCCTGGCTGAATCATGCATGGCTGAATCATGCCTTCCTGAATCATGAATGGCTGAATCATGCCTGGCTGAATCATGCCTGGCTGAATCATTCGCCACTTGGCAATGGCCGATTCGTGCTCGAGTAAATCCTATTGAGCAGCACTCCGCTGCCACGAGTGCCTCCCAAGATTGTTGGCACGTTTTCTTCATTCGCGTTGCCCACGGATGCTACTGCATGTCACCATGTGGAATGACGTCAAACATATGTCCTTCCATGCTGCAGCTGCTATGTGAGAGTTGTCCTTCCATGTTTCAAGAAACCATATTTGGTCCGCATGTCCCACCCGCTTGGACAGCTACCTTTCATCATTTGCACCGAATATGTTGAATCAGAGAAAATGATGTCTGCATGTATGCATGTTCATAACCCGTGAGTGGCTATCGGATGTCTATACATTAGAGTATAGAGGCAGCCTTCATCCACAGTGATTTGATCTCGGTTGCAGAAACACATGGTTCCAGAACAAATTTACTTGCAGCCTTACTCATCTGTATGTTGCACACGTACCTTGAATGGCCCAGTTCCATCTGACAGAAAATAGCACAGATTGGTTGCAATAGGATAGATTGGTTGTGTCAAGAAAATCAGATGATGAGATGTGCAAAAGAACCACTTCCCCAAGCACATTTGACAGTTCGGTATCAAGCACAGCACGATACCGGTATGAAAGTATTGCAAAGCATGTTGCAGCCACTTTGCACATTTCTCTCCCTGAACAGAGCCACAGCTCAGCGAGCAGCGCACTAGTGAGCTGCCGATGCATGGCACGAGCATGGTTGGGATGAAGTGGCTTGGGCGGGTTGATAAGCCCTGAGTGGGTTGGAAAGGCACGGGTGGGTTGAAAAAAGATGGGTGGGTTGAAAAGGCATGGGTGGGTTGATAAGGCATGGGTGGGATGAGAGAGGTTTGGGTGGGATGAAAACAAAATGGGTGGAATGAAAAGGCATGGGTGGTACGGAAAAACATGGGTGGTACGAAAGGGCTTGGGAGGGATGAGAAGGCATTGTTGGGATGAGAAGGCATGGGTGGGATGGAAAATGCAGAAGCACAGGGAAGGAGCAGATGAAACAATGGAAGTTGGAGGCATTGTGGAGGAGAAGCAAGATGATGCTGCTATTGAACAGCAAATGCAGAAAAATGGGGGGTACGAGTGGAGTGGGGATACGAGAGGAGTGGGGGTTATGAGGAAATTGGGGGGGTATGAGAGGATTGGGGAACATGAGAAGAGTGGGAGGCATGAGATGAGTGATGGGTATGAGGAGCGTGAGGGGTAATGAGAGGGGTGGGTAGCATGAGGGAATTGGGGGAGGAGTGGGGGTCATGAGAGACATGATAAAAGAGGAGTGGAGAGTATGAGAGGAGTGGGGAAGATAAGAAGAGGGTGAAAGATGGCAGGAGTAAGGGTGTTGGAGGGGTTATAACTGTTTTCATGACTATAACATTTTCAGGTTCTCCAGCCCATGAGACCCATGAGGTTAAGACAGATGCTGGTGGAAAAGGAGCGAGTATAGGGGGGTGAAGAAGAAGAGAAGGAGGGTTGCATGAAGCAAGATTGCGAAGGGAGCATTGGATTGGAAGGGGGGTTTGGGCAGTACAGAAAAGATGCCATGGCTGTCATATGTGGAGGGTTTTGTAAAAAAAAAAAACCTTCACCCACGTACTAACCAGATGTGAGGAGTCATGGCACAGTCGTTTGATGCACCGCCACTCAGGCAAGCTACATGGGTCTGTATGATGCCGTGCATGCATACATGCACTTGACCATGCACGAACTTGTGCAATGATGATCATTATGATTGTCATGCAAGGATGATGATGCGTTGAACGATCATATATGCGTGGCATTGAGCATGTGCAAGTGGCAAGGCCTGAATGTGGAACACTGAAGATATAGAACCGGATGAGGTGGCTTCACCTGGAAGGGCACAGCATAACATGTTGGCAATGCTGCACAATGGGGAGGAAAGCAGGGTGATAAGAATAAGGTGGGAATGTGGAAAGGAGGTTCTAAGAAAAAAAAAGATTTATTTACAAAGAGTAACAGGAGGGCCAAACGGAGAGGGGAACATAAAATGAGATGATATATGCCAATACATACACATTTCAACACATCAAATTAAGTGGTAAGACATGACCGGACCTATCACTATCCGCAGTTACACTTGACGGAATGTATAAGATAATGCAACGCATGCCAGAAACACACATACACACACACACACATACACACACACATACACACACACACACACATACACACACACACACACATACACACATACACACACACACACATACACATACACACACACACACACACACACACATACATACACACACACACACACACAGACACACACACACACACAGCCCAAAGTCTCCCCCTCTTCCTCTCCTTGCCCCTCACCCTCTCCCCACACAACCCTCAAACTTGCAACCCCTTCTCTCTTTTCCCCTCAAGCCTCTCTCTCCCCCCCCCTTCCCCCCCAACCCCCACTTCCACCCCCCCAACTCATTTCTGGCCCCTTCCTTGCACAAGAGTTACCGTCATCACCCGGATATAAGACAGTGTTGAATAGTAGACAGGGGTTGTCTATTATACGGGTGTCTCTTATAAACAGGCTAGCCTCATTATAAGACACCTATTTGTGTGTACGGGTTAAGAAAGTGTAGGAGTTAGGGGCAAATGTATAGCGAGGGGGTATCTTCTAAACGGTTCTTTGTCCATTTATAAGATTTATAAGACACCCTAAACCATCCCGTTTACAAGATAACTCAAGCATTTTTGCCCGTGTACGAGATAAGACATACCGTAATTACCCGGGTAATGGACCCCCCATAATTATAGACCCCTGAGTCGTTAAATGGGGGGGGCTCTAATGCTAAATGCACTTTCGTAATAAACCCCCCTTTCAGCAATGTATTTCGGATTAGACCCCCCCTAACTGTGCCCTGCTTGTTTCGAGTCAAACTATAGCGAGCAACTGGTCAAGGCAAGTTGAATGGAGCCAATTGTCATGCGTCAGACGCGCGTCAGTCGCGCGTCAGTCACGCGTCAGACGCATGGACAAAATTTCGCTGACAAAGTGGTGGCCTTTGATACTGTAACAGAAGGGTATTTGACACTACTTAGAAAAAAATATGCATCTAGGATTAGACCCCGGGTCTATTGCATTTACACCCAGCTAATAGCCCCACCCCCCCTTTTTTTCCGGGGTAGGATTAGACCCGGGGGTCTATTACCCAGGTAAATATGGTATCCGGGGTAGGATTAGACCCGGGGGTCTATTACCCAGGTAAATATGTCTTATATCCGGGCGATGACAGTATTTGTTGTGCATGAAGATGAAACCATTTATCCGAATCTCTTTGATTTCTCTGTTTCCTGTCACCAAAACTCATAATCGCGTATCATTTCTGATAGTATGAGATCATCATCTATCCTCACACACTATTGATCATATTCTAACCTTGCCCTGCTTCCGACTTCATCAAGGCCTTGCACACGTTTTCAGCAAAAGACCTTTGTTTTAACGTCGTATAACACTTTTCATGCGTTTTAGCAATGCGCGTGTATGATACATGATGCACGGCATGTTCTAATAGTGTGGTGCTGCAACAATGTAGCCTTAAGTCAGCCAGGAAGAATGCATACCGTAACATTTCTCTGGGAAAACATTCTGGCCCATAACTAAGTTCACTAAAGATTAAATTTAGAAAGCTTGCTTTCTTGCATGTAGCAATTGGCATCGTCTCATTTCAAATGGGTTTAGTACAATTGAAATCTAAGCAGTGACATTACAACAATATGCCTCTACGTTATCAACGCTATCCTGCTTTCGAGGGGGGGTGGGTGGGAAAATCGGCTAAACCGTTTGAAAATGAGAGACGTGGGTGGAGGGAAATGACCTCCAGCCCACGTTTTGTACTCCAAAACGGGCGTTTAGCGCGGCTCGACGCTGCCAAATCCTACATTACAGGCAGCTTCGCTTTCGAAATACATAATTTTAAAAAGCATTACAGCTTTTAAAAATATACATTTCTACAACATATGAAACTAACTAGGGGGCCTAATGTATGAGTGGTGAAAAGGCACCCTCAACGCTGGAGCATATCACACCCCACAGTAGAAAAGCGTTCGAGCATTCTGAGATTACAAATGTCGTCAGGCAGCGCTTCAAGGTGCTTGCAGTTATAGATATTGAGCTTCTTGAGTCTGCTGAGCCGAGCAAAGTTAGGAGGAAGCATGCGGATGCTGCTGTAGCTGAGGTTTAGATAACGCAGGCAGGAGAGCTGCGTGAGGGAAGCAGGGAGACGCGTGAGGGATGAGCAGAGGGATAAGTCCAGCTTGCGCAGCCTTGAGAATGCCCCCAAGGTATCTGGAAGGGAAGATAACGTCCGGGCATGGATTTGAATGGGTGTCAGGTGGTGGAGAGTGGTGATGGCCGCAGGCAGCTCTGCAAGTTCTTCATACATGGTTCTGATGTTCAGCTGTCGTAGCTCCTGCAATGACGAACCGTCAGACTCCACTAGCCTGTCCAAGCTGCGAGCCTCCTGGAGTGTCAAGGTGCGAAGGCGGGGAAGCCTTGTCAACACGGTCAGAAGCTCCTCTGAATCTTCCCCCAGCCCCATTTCCAGGTGCTCCAGACGAGAGAGACCAGAGAGGCTCGCACCCACGGCCTCAACAAATGTTGCACTCACGGTGCCCAAGATCAATATTCTGAGCCCATTTAGCCTTGAAATGTCTGTCGGAGACACCAGGTGCTGACTGTAGGCTAGCGCCTGGAGACTGAGAGGCCGAGCTTGAGGGGCTTCTCTCAGCGGCCAACATCCCCTCGGCTCCAACTGCTTCAGCCTGGTCAGGCTGTCCAGCCTCCTGGGAATTGAAGAGAGACAACGACACTCTTGAATCCTCAGAACTTGAAGGCTGGTGAGCGCCGTCACACATTCCGGAAGCTCCTTGATGGCAGGACACTTCTGAATGTAGATCTCCTGCAGGTTTGTCATCTCCGCCATGCCCGTAGGAAGCTCAGCAATTGCGCACTGATCTAGCTTCAACCTGGTAAGCGAAGCCAGCTGCGTGAATGATGCAGGCAGCTGCTCTTCCCTGTTTTCAGTGAGTTGGAAGATTCGGAGATTGGTCAGCCCCCCCAAGTCTTCTGGAAGGTCCAGTTTCATCTGCCATGCAAGGCTGAGAGTCTGCAGTGCAGTGAAGTTGCCAAACCCTGCAGGTAGCTTCTCCACCCCCATGCAGTCACGCAGGCAAAACAACTCCAGCGATGCGAGTCTGGTGAAGGAAGCCGGGAGATGGCAAAGCGGCAACTCCTGCAGAACCAGCTCCTTCAAAGTTGGAAGATTCCCAAAATTTTCAGGTAGAGTGACCACGGGGCATGAGGAAATGGTCAAGCTCTCCAAGCAGGTGAGGGAAGTGAAATGATCAGTCAAGTCTTTGAAGCTCTGGCCGCTGATGCTGAGCTCCTGGAGGCATGGCAGCACCTCTCCTATACTTTCTGGAATCCGCTCTTGGCCGAAGCACTTGTTAAGCTGCAGGCGTTTCAGGAAGCTGTATGGCGATCCAAGAGGGGGAAAAACGCTGAACTGAGCACCGTGCAGTCCCAACTTGAGAGACTCAAGAGAGGGTAGCTGGGCGAGTGAGAAGGCAGGAGGATCTGTTGAAACGATGCGAATGTCATCTGGCAAGGAGAGGCGGATGAGGCTGGTGAGTCGAAGGAGGCTGGAAAGCTGGTCGTAGTGAAGAGAGGAGGCTTCAATGGAGACTGCAGTGAGACACGAAAGGCGGCTGATGTTTGGAGAATTGAAGATCCAAGTATTGGTCAAGACGAGGATGCTCAAATGTTGAAGCTGGAAAAATGAAGCTGGTGGGTTCTGATTTCCCTCAAGACAGTGCAGCGACAGCTGCTCCAGTTGAGAGCAGCGACGAAAGAAATAGTCCAAATTAGATTCGGTTATTACGTGGTCCCTCCTTCCGTGCTGTCCGTCGCCCGCTGCCATCATCAACTTGCCCACGTGCAGCGCTCTCAGCCCAGGGCACGAAGAGGCGAGGTCAACTAGAAACGAGTCGTCCAACGTTTCCACACTTCCGTCTGACAGATGCAAATGGGTCAGACTGGGAAAGCAAGCGACAGCGGTGAGCACATCCTGGCGAGAAACGACGCGATTCTCCTTGACGAGGAGCGACAAGACGTGCCTCTTAGCGAGACGCCGCCAGCGTCGACAGATGGACGCGATGCAGAGGTTATGAGCGGCATCTGCGGAGGCTGGAGGGGTCGGCATCGCAGTGTCTCTTAGCGAGTACAAGCGCTCTGAAGTAGCGCGTCTGTAGAGGTGATTAAACCCGGGCGCCGTGACAAAGTTGCACACAGCATTGTTCTCCGATGTGCAAGAAGTGATCGACTGTTTGGAAGGCCACAAGATCCTGATGAGAACGTCGTCGAGGAGATCGTGGATGTAGGTTCCAATAGAGCCCATGCTAACAGCCGTCGTGCTAACAGCCGTGTGCACTAACTGGCAGCTGAAGTGAAGCTCCAAACAATCTCGCAAGAGCTAGATGACTTCAACCACGGCTTCGTATAGAATAAGCTCGAAGGTCAGCTATATACAGAGTGTGCTGGTCCTGACTAAGACGATCCCAGCTTAGAAGCGACCGTGCGACGGCTCACCTAGCAGAACAATGTCAAATCGCTGACGCGGAATGATATCCAGCTAGTAAGTTGCTCATTCAGCTAAGCCCTGTGCTTTCATGAGAAGCTACTTCGAGATCACACATGGCTTGACCACCTACAGAGAGCTTGCAGTTGCCCTCTGGACTGGAGCTTCCTGGAAAGGCAAGTTCCCCCCCACCTTGAACTTTTCTTGAGGGCAAGGAGGGAGCCTTCTCCAGACGATTTTCCGCCATTGACGACGCTCGCTGGGGTTTGCGCGTTTCCTGCTGAGCCCTCACGTGATGCCCCTGCGTGTCCCTTCTCGCGGTTGCGTTGCGCCTAACCGGTCAGGAACTTGCGGGGATTTCAAGTTCCACAGAAGCCGCTCTCCGCTCATCACAGCCCCAAGGACCCACCCAACCGCGGGCCTTGGCGAGCACCACAGGTGCATGAAACAGCCACTAAGCTGTTTTTAGAGAGTACTAGTAGAAGAAGGCTTTCTTATAAGAATTTCAGAAAGATAGTAACTTTACTAGATCATATGATGGCATACATTTCAGAGATACATCCTATTATACTAGGATACTAGCAATGGCGCCTCGAGCAGGTCGCTCAGGTCGCCTTTCATATTCCTAGAGCTAAGAACAGCAAGGCATAGTCATTATGATTATGTACAAGACATCTTAGCCTTGTTGTCATATCTTAGAACCAATTAGCAAAGTCTAGGAATTCACTAAAGACATAGGCAGAGATTATTTGTCTTGTTGTCGTCCATGCTGTCGTTGATAATCGTGAGTAGAAGCCATGGCTGTAGGGAGTTGCTTTGCCGTGCTCTTGGAGTTCTCTGCCGTGTTGTGTCCAGCACTAGAGTGCTCTCTGTAGTTGTTCCCAATGTTGGAAACTGAGAATTACGAGCCGCACAATTCAATGTTGGATTCCAACATTGAATTCCCGAAATGTACTTAGGGTGTGTTCCGAATTCTGGTTCGGATCACAAGGAGTTGAGTTGGCGAAATCGCGGGCGGCGAGATCGCCTTCGCCTTGTTACATTACTCCCCTCTCCAGCAAGCACCGTCCTCGGTGCTTGAGCAGATGCAAGGTAGCTCTGAAGGGCTCTCTGGGCATTGTGAAGGCTTGTCTCGGGTATCCAGAGGTTGTGAGAGGAGTCTTTCCCACGCCACTTAACAAGGAAGTAAGTGCCGCGACGAGAAGTTTCATGGGAGAGAATTTTCTCAACTTCAAAGAGATCAGGGTTGGGTGTGAACATAGGAGGCCGAGGAGGCAGAGGTAGGAGGGGGAAGTGGGCTGGAGGAATGTGGTAAGGACGTAGCAGCTGAACGTGAAAAACAGGGTGTATGTTGATGTGTGGTGGAAGTTTCAAACGGTAGGTGAGAGGAGAGAGAACTTGGGTGATGGGGAAAGGGCCGATGAAATGAGGTGCAAGTTTACGAGTGAGACCTTTCTGCAGCAAGGGGAGGTTTGTGGTAGAGAGGAGGACTTGGTCACCTACGTGGAACTGAATGTCACGACGGTGTTGATCGGCGTACCGGATCATTCGGTGTTGGGATTTGAGCAAGGAAGCGCGTGCTGCTGCAATGGTCTTTTCCCGAGTAGAGAGGAATTCGGCTCCCGGTTTGGTGTCGCTGCTGCATACGAGAGAAGCCGGTGTGCGAGGTTGCTGCCCTGTAGCGAGGAAGAATGGGGTTTGTCCCGTGGCAAGGTTCACCGTGTTGTTGTAGGAGAATTCGATCGATGGCATATGCTGGTCCCAATCATTTTGCCGTGCATTCACGCATGCGCGCAGAGCATCTTCAAGTGTTCGATTCATCCTCTCGGTCTGCCCATCGGACTGAGGATGATAGGCAGTGGAGAGATGAATCTTGGTGCCCAATCTGTTGAAAAGGATTGCCAAAATCTGCCAACAAACCGAGAATCACGGTCACTGATTAGTACGGAAGGGATGCCATGGAGACGTACTATTTCCTTGAAGAAGAGATCAGCGACATTCTCAGCTGTAGCTGTGGTGGAGGTAGGGAGGAAGTGTGTCATCTTGCTCAGCTTGTCCACTACGGTGAGGATGGCGTTGTGATGGGAGGAGGTGCGAGGCAGATCTGTGATGAAATCGAGTGTCACATGAGTCCATGGGAGTTGAGGGATTTCCAAGGGGTGTAGCAGGCCGTAGGGTGCAGCGTTGCGAGCTTTGTTGCACTGGCATGTGTGGCAGCTGCGTACGTAGGAGCGGACGTCTCGAGAGAGCTTGGGCCAGAAGAAGTTGGAAGAGATGGCTGCAAGCGTTTTGTCCACTCCGAAGTGCCCATGCTGGTCATGATGCTCGCGTAGCAGGAGATGGTGAAGCTTGCGCTCTGCGGGGACGCAGATGACTCGAGAATCTGCCTTGTACCAAAAGGGGGATTCGTAGAAGACAGATTTATCATCAGCAGCAGAGTAGAGATAGAAATGATCACGACGATACCCTTTGGTGAATTTCTTGATGAAGCTTTCGTCCCATGTGACACTTCCGATGGTGGTGAGCAGAGGTTGAGGAGGCCGAGTCAAGGAATCAGCAGGGTTGAGGCGGCCAGCGCGGTACTCGATTTTCAGCTCCGGTACGTACTGCTCCAGGTACTCCATCCATCGGGCATGCCTCGGGGTGAGATGGGGCTGCGTCTTCAGGTGTTGGAGTGTGCAGTGATCGGTTAAGACAGTGACGGGCTGCATGTGAACATAGCAGCGCCACTTCTTGATTGCATGGACGATGGCCAGCGCCTCGCGATCATGAGTAGCATAGTTGCACTCGGCAGGTTTGAGTTTCCGGGACTCGAAGGCGATAGGCTGAAGGCCATGCCCTTGATCTTGACAAAGGATTGCACCCGTTGCAACCTGAGACGCATCTGTCCATATCACATAGGGTAGGGAGGGGTTGGGTAGGGCTAGAGTAGGAGAAGAGGTTAGTGCACACTTGAGAGTATC